GTTTGTGAAAACAGATGCAAAATACTCATTAAGAACTATGCCATGTATTGTATTGCCACATAGATTACCTTTTCTCTTACTCTTTATCTATATATAAAACAAACTTATGCCAGTTTCATTCTGAAACATTAGCCTGTTTTCCCTTCAGAAATGCTGTTTATCACCTAGTCTTCACTGTTTACATTTCAAATTAAGCAAACATTTCTTTCTATTGTGCGGGGAGCTGGTTGTTTGGTTGTCTAGACAGTTAAAGCGCAATCCAGAATACCAAAACAGTAAGGGCTCGAATCCCATATTGGCTCTGGTAGTACATTTTGACTTGCCCAGAATTTGATGTGGGGTGGTACCTCTCTATCTATTTAACTAATTTTCTCTCTCAGAAAGGTCTTCACGCACAATGGCCTATTACCAAAATATCTTTCTATTGTAAAAGATATAACATTTGTGTCTCACTGTTCGTGATCCCAGCAGATCGTTTAATTGAGCAAGTCAAATTCCAGAGCACAAGTTTTATTCTTTGAAATTTGCTCACTGTGGTGGTCAGTCACTGGGCACATTCACGAGAAGCTGCCAATGTACTTTTAACAAAATAACATGGAAGTTTATTACACAAAAGAAATAAAAAGGGAAAAAAAAACAAAGCCACATATATGAGACATACTGGAAATATCCAAACATAAACAGAAAATAGAAAGAGTCGACCCTTTTTCTCTCAGCAATTTCGTTTGCAGACACTTGACCGGAGTGAAGTATCAATCCTATTATCTCTTTATCTTTTTAAGTCAATTCACAAGAATTTCTGCACATTCAGATCTGACTCTCTCCATCGATCATCAAGACACAGAAACAGACACAGACTGACTTTTCTCACTGAACTTTAAGACAGCAACCTAGGGCTTTTTCAAGTCGCTTAGACTGCTTTCAGGCTGCAAAACAGCACATCTGCCTGTGAATCTTTCCTTTCGAATCGAAACAGTTTCTGGCCTTTCTTTGCGTAGGTTCCAAGAGTTCTACTTAGCAAGAACTTCAACAATTAGCTGACTGGGTAGCTTGTCTAGTCATTTAGCTTAAAAATCACAATTTCTAGGCAATGCTATTTTGACCCAATGCTTTAAAAAGTCCTAACCCTATTAAAAAAAGTCACTTTAACTAAACTAAAAATCAAAAACTCATTTGACTCTATTTTAGAACCAAAGTTCCCAAATAATATAAATTTTCATCAACTCAGAGTATCAGAGCCAAACTTCACTGAAAATTGCCCTGTATTGTTGCAAATACTTGTTTTCATTTAGGGCTATCTGGAAATAATTTAATTTTTGGACTATTTGGACATTCTCTGGATTAAGAGAGTTTTTAACCATGTGATTAATTGGATTTTAAGCCAATAATTCAGTGCTGCAAGCAACTGCTGTTTTTTATTGGAAATCAAATGGTTTTGAGGAAGCAGCTGATCAAAACTTTCAAGTAGTTGAGAGATGCAGTAAATTGTCTTAATTACTAGGAAGGCCTAGCTTTGAGAGGGAACCCATAGTAATTCCTAGAAACCTGCTCTGGATTTGTTTACAGACCTAAGAGTCAGAGTAAAGACTACATTCCAGAAGTTGCAAGCTTTTTCCTAAAATCCTGTTCTCAGGAGAAGTTTCTGGAAATCTGTTAGAGTTTTCAAATGCCAATATTTATGTGTGCCTGGTTTAAAAAAAAAACTGGATTATAACGATGTTCCAAAAACTCAAATCCAAGTTCATTGGATGTCACACCTGATCTACCATCAGCGGTATCGCTGTCAGCCATTCAGGTTAGTCAACAGGAAAAGTGGAGCTGAAGAGTTATTACATTCGATCTTTTGATGCCAGACACTTAGCCCAAAAGGGGTTTCTTTCCCCCACTTTACCTTAAAACAAAGCATCTCTCAAAGTCTCGTCTTTTTGTGTTGTGGGATTAAGGAGATGTTATTTTAATCCCGATCACAGGTTAGATATAGAGTAATACAGCATGGAAACAGGCTTTTTGGCCCAAACTGGTCCATGCGGACCATGGTGCCCACTCAGCTAGTTCCAACTGCCTGCATTTGCTCCATATCCCTCTAAACCCTTCACATCCATGTCCCTATCCAAATGTTTTCTAAATGTTGTTATTGTACCTGCCTTAACCACTTTATCTGGCAGCCCATTCCATATGCGCACCACTCTCTCCGTGAAGAAGTTGCTCCTCAGGTCCTTCTTAAATGTTTCCCCTCTCATCTTAAACCTATGCCCTCTGGTTTTCAATTCCCCATCCCTGGGAAAAAGACTATATGCATTCATCCTATCTATGGCCCTCACGATTTCAATAAGGTCACCCCTCATTTTCCTATGTTGCAAGGAATAAAGGCCTATCATGGCCGACCTCTCCCTGAAACTCAGGCCAACTAGTCCTGGCAACATCCTTGCAAATTTTTGCACACTTTCTAGTTTAACCATGTCTTTCCGATAACAGGGTGATAAAAACTATACACAATATTCCAAATGCGGCTTCACCAATGACTTATATAACTGCAACACAACGTCCCAACTCCTCTACTCAATGCCTCGACAGACGAAGGCCAGCATGCTAAATGCCTTCTTCACCACCCTGTCCACCTGTGGCACCACTTTTGACAAACTACGTACTTGTACTCCTAGGTCCCTCTGTTCCACAATACTCCTCAGGACCTTACCATTCACTGTATAAGTCCTACCTTGGTTTGACTTTCCAAAGTGCAAAACCTTTGCCAATCCTCAGCCCTACTTCCCATTTGACCAATTTTTGATAACCATCTTTGCAATCAACGATACCTCCTAAATTTTGTATCATCCGCAAACTTACTAATCATGCCTTGTACATTCACATCCAAATCATTTATGTAAATCATGAATAACAAAGGTCCCAGCACTGACCCCTGTGGCACACCGCTAGTCACAGGCCTCCAGTTTGAGAAATAACCTTTAACCATCACCCTCTGCTTCTTACCATCGAGCCAAGTTTGAATCCAATTAGCTAGCTCTCCCTGGATCCCATGCGACCTAACCTTCATGACTAGCCTGCCGTGTGGGACCTTGTCAAAGGCCTTACTAATGTTCACACAAACAACATCCACTGCCCTACCCTCATTTACCTTCTTGGTTACTCCTTCGAAAAACTCTAAAAGATTTGTCAGATATGACATCTCGCGCACAAATCCACGCTGACTATCCGTAATCAGACCTTGACTATCCAAATGTTGGCTGCTCCTGTCCCTCAGTATCCTCTCCGTTAGCTTGCATACCATTGATGTCAGGTTCACTGGCCTGTAGTTCCCTGGCTTGTCTTTGCCACCTTTCTTAAACAATCCAAAACATCCCCACTTGTTTCCCTTATTTCCTTAGCATCCATAATTCTCTCCTTCAGTAAACTCTGAGAAATATTCATTAAAAATCTCCCCCTTCTCCTGTGGCTCCACCGAGAGCCAGCCATGCTGATCTTTAACGGGACCTATACTCTCCCTAGCCACCCTCTTACTCTTAACGTAGCTATAGAACCTCTTGGGATTATCTTTAACCTTATCTGCCAGATCCATCTCACACCCTCTTTTTGCTCTTCTGATTTCTCTCTATAGTGTGCTCCTACACTTTTTATAGTCATCTAGGGATTCACTCGATAGCGTAAAGTCAAGGTATGCTTTCTTCTGTTTCCTGACCAGAGCCTCAATGTCCCTCAGCAGCCAGAGATCCCGAAACCTGCCAGCTTTGCCCTTCACCCCAACTGGGACATACTTTCCACGGACTCTTGATATCACACTTTTAAAAGCCTCCCATTTACCAGTTGTTCCTTTTCCTTCAAACAGACTCATCCAATCAACCTGTGCTTGATCCTGCCGAATGACCCCAAAATTGGCCCTGCTCCAGTTCAGCACTTTAACCTGTGGATCTGGCCTATCTTTTTCCACACCTATGTTAAAACTAAGAGAGTTATGGTCACTAGACCCAAAGTGCTCTCCCACTGACACTTCAGTCACTTGCCCAGAGATAGTAGGAACTGCAGATGCTGGAAAATCCGAGACAAGGTGCAGAGCTGGATGAACACAGCAGGCCAAGCAGCATCACAGGAGCAGGAAGGCTGACATTTCGGGCCTACACCTTTTCTGATGAAGGGTCTAGGCCCGAAACGTCAGCCTTCCTGCTCCTGTGAAGTCACTTGCCCAACCTCGTTTCCTAAGAGGAGGTCCAGTGTTACAACCCTCCCAAGTAGGGCCCTTTACATATTGATTCAGGAAACTTTCTTGGACCAAGTGTTGCCAACACTTTAGGATTAAGTATTGTTTACAGTAAACAGATTATTTTGAACTCATTAAACTGGCCTGGGGGTTTCTTTTGTTCTGGATAGTCACAGAAAACGGTAGAATTGGTCAGTTCGAAAACTGAATCAAGAAATTTAACAGTGGACAGTGACTAGTGGAGTAATGAGCACTTGATTCCCAGTGCACTCCTCCCCTCCGTGTCGGAGAGGACGCATTTGAAATAGTTCCATAGAAGAGTTTTGAAGGCATTAATTCCTGGCACCTAGAATGAATTCCTTAGCCTTGTAAGAAGCTGCTTGCAGAATGTGTTTGGATTTACTCTCTCCCACACACTTTGTTTTTCAAAAAGCTATTATTTAAAAAAAATGGAAAGAAGGATGCGTTTTACCAGACCATAGGGCGCTCATTAGAGAAAGAGAGACAGAGACAGAGAGACAAACACACGTAACTGGTGGTGGTTTAACCTGAGGGTGCCCCCACCTCACACCAGGATAGTGAGTGAGAAGCAGAGTCCCTCAAGGTCAACAAGAGAAACAGAAATTGCTGGAAAAGGTCAGCATGTGTGGACAGCAATCAGAGTTGACTATTCGGGTCGAGTGACCATTCCTCATGGTGACGGTAAGGCTGGAGCAGGAGGCTCTTATACCTGCTGCTTTTCTCCTGAAAAATCAACGCAGCGAGCACGTCCCCGCTGTTAAATACTGACCTCTGAGTCTGTCACCAGCAGCTGATGGTAATCCTTACTCGGTGCTGGAGCTTGAGCACGGATTTCGTAAAGTGTGCCTTTTAACAAGGACGCCATCTTGGACGCTTCTCATTACCAGAGCAACGGCGTCGAATGTAAACAAGAGCAGCCGCGACTAGTTTTACTTTACACCGGGTCCGCACGGCACCAATTCGACACCCACATCACTTTAATATTTTGGGGGAGGAAAAAACATTTTTTTTTTTTAAATAAAACCCACCGATGCCCGGCGAGGCGAATTAAAAATAATTTATGGTCAAGAACTCCGGACCTGACCGACGGCACCCGGGACTCGAAAGGTCGTGACCCCGCGGGGTGATACAACCGACGGTGAAGAGGAGGAAGGAAGGAAGGAAGGAGAGTTGATTAATTGTAAATATAGCGGATTATATATGTCTTTTTCTTCCTTTTTTTTCAAAAAAAAAGAAAAGGGAAAGTATTCCACGTTGGTAGATTTTAAAAGGATGTGAGGGGAAGAGACAGAGAAAAAGAAAGGCTAAGGTATGGATGATAGGAAATAAATAAGGAATGAAAGAAAGCCGTCTTTATTTGTTTTTTGTCTCTCTCTGGAAGGCCAGGAAGGGAGTGAGAGGGTTTAGCCCTCCCCCCTAGGACCATCCCCTCCTCCCCCCTCCCATTGACAGTGAATGGATGGTGCTGAGAAATAGTGCGGTGGACGGATACACGGGCAGAGGCTGAGAGTTATTAAGAGAGGGGGCAGAGGGAGAGCTGGTGGTAGGACAGGCTGTAGAATTGGAACAAACTAGGTAATAACATTTACTTCAAACCACAGAGACAGAGAGGGGGAAAATTATAGTGTGTGTGTGTGTGGGGGGGTTACCCCACCTGTTTATTATTGATTTTTTTTGTTTTAAACACAACAAGGATAAATCAAGCATTTTCGTTTTTTTTTTGGAGGCATTAATTCCTGGCACCAGAATGAATTCCTCAGCCTTGTGAGAAGCTGCTTGCGGGATGTGTTGGGATTAACTCTTTCCCCTTTTTTTTGTGTTTTAAAAGAAAGCTTCTCTTCTATTTAAAATAATGAGTATATGTGTTATTTGAGTCAGTCTGGGGTTGTTTCCTTTCGTTTCGCTCTTTATTTGTTCTGCTAACATGAGTAATCAGTTGAAGTTTTTTTTTTGTGGTGGTGGGGGGCAATTTTTTTTTCTCTCTTCCCTCAAACCACCCACCCCACTGAGTTCTCTTTATCCTGTTTGTGATGGGTGGGGAATGGAGAGAAAGAGAGAGGGAGGCCCTTTCAACCCGAACATTGGGCTCAGCCTGGCATTCGCTTCCCTAAGGAAGGGGCCGGGGGGGACAAAAAAATACAAAATGGTTTGGATCTACAGTATTTTTTTTAACTGAAGTTATTTGTGTGTATGTGGGGAGGGTGCTTTCTCTGGTTTGTAAGCGAGATTAGTTCCTTCCTTCTTTGTTTTTTGGAGGGGGAGGAGGGAAGGGGTATGACAGAGGGAGGGTTTTTTTTTCCTTCTTTTAATATTTCCCCCCCTTCCCCCCCCCCTTCCCCCTTTTCTTTCCCCCCCCTCCCCCCTTTTCTTTCCCCCCCTCCCCCCTTTTCTTTCCCAGCAGCACTTGGTGTTTGACGTTCACACATCCGGCGACAGCTGTAACTCCGACAGCGGGGATTGACGCTGGACACCCAGGCCTGGACGCTCATTCCCCCCCACCCCCCCCACCTCTTTCCCTAGCTTTTGAGAGACACTGCCGGCTTGATGTGATCAAAGAAAGAGGCAGCTAAGCTCGAACCTTATTTCTACTGTAAATGTAGTTGCTTACACCTCCCGCCCCCCTTCCTTTTGGTGATTGTTGGGTTTTTAAACCCACTACGAGGTAGGCCGCTTATAGCCATAATGAAAGCTCTAAAATAAAGACCTGTTGTCTGGGCCTGATCAGTAATATTTTCCATGATCCAGACGGACGTACAATATTACCCCATTTTGCGAGTAGTAATTTGTGTGTTTTACTTTTAAAAAAGAAACGTAATTCAATTTGAAAAGCGACTTGTGCACTTTACGGCAAGGGATGGGAATGTTGCCTTGGGATAGATGTTTATTTCGTTCAAAAATAACGAGCTGTTTCGTTAGCACTGACACCGACCATGGCGGTGCAATCCTGCGGCAGTTGTGCTGTGTAGGCCGCAAAAGTAAACAGGAATGCCCAACGCATCACGTATCTCCGTAAACCTATTGTCTCTCCTAATTTCGACAAAGACCACAATATATTCAGTTTGATGTATCTAAACTTTCCTGTATGTACGCAGAACCGAAAGTTCGGTACCATTTTTAGATTTCTTAGGAAGCCTAAAACTCTTCAGTCTCCCCTAAAATTGTACAAAGCAAGTTGAGTTCAATTTGGCTTCGGGAAGAAGTCTGACTGTTCTGCCAAGAATAATCGTCACCAAACAACTATTGGTTATGGCTGCCTACACAATCTGATGTGCATAAAATGCAAACTGCAACTTCATGCACATAATTTCTGAATTTATTGAGGAAGGGTACAGTTTTATGGACATGGGTGCATTCATTTTCTCCATATAACTGAAAGATTTAAAATTAAACGTATTCTTCATGAACCCTTTCTAAAATAAAAGGCAAAAACCAATTTGGAGTTGACAGCATCAAAATTGAATGTAAAGGCTATACAAGATTAGAAAAAAAAATGTTTTTCAGTGGGTAACAATATTGCAGATGTTCAAGTGTTAACATTGGATTAGTTTTCATTCAAGGATCTCTTAACATGCTAATTCATCCCCACTTTGCTGAAAAACAATGGTATTTCTGTGTTTTTAGCAATTTGCTGCCTTATTTGTCTTAAATTCAAATGAATGTTACTAGAGTATTTCCATCAACTGTACGATGGCCAAGGTCAGTTTGGTTTTGCTTGCAGTTCGCGTGAATATTCTTGTGTCTGGGAAAAAGGGGGGTGTGAGGAGGATTGGTTTTGGTTCCAACAAAACCAAAAGAAAACAGATCAGTGTCCATTTTGGAGACTTTTGCACTTGATTACTACAGTACAAATAATTGACTGGCTTTCAACAAAGAATACCACTAAGCTTTTTAAAGGAGTGAGACAAAATGTTGTGTTTTATTGAACTTTTGTAATCTGAAAGTGTCCAATTTGCTAATGAAAAGCACAGAGTTTGGTCCCAGGTTATAAGATCCTAGAATGGTCCCCTGAACATATCAGTAAGCAAGAATCCCACTAATCTCATTTCCAAGGCTAGATTTCTGTTTTTTCTAAAAAAAAAAACTGCAGATGCTGGACCTCAGAAACAAAAAGACAAATTGCCGGAAAAGCTCAGCAGGTCTGGCAGCATCTGTGGAGAGAAATCAGA